CTTCATGGCAGAATGATGAATAACCAAATTTCAGATTACAACCTTTGATTTAAAGTTTCTTTTGCATTTTGATCCTATGTTAAGAAATACGGATGTTAACTTTTGCAATTTTCTCAGAAAAGCTTTTTTCTTGATTAATAGGTGCAACAAAATTGAAACTTTTTACAAAGTAAATAAAACAGTGGTTTCTCAGTTTTCCTCTTCTTCCCTTGTAACTCACTGCATAAACATACCTATAAGCAGCTATAAAAATAACATTCAACATCATATGAAGTTCTTTCCTAACACATCAATATTTTGTTCAGGCTGCAACTGTGGTAAATATTTCTCTCCCTTTCTGCTCCCTCCCTTCTCCAAATCTTGGGTGTTTTCTATGATTCTGTGTCATTGTGAGTAAAATGTCAATATGTGTAATGACACAGCACAGTGAAAACACATATTTTCATATTCATGTAAACTCATGTAATTGTAAATTAGGCTGTGCCACCCGCTATCATAACATACTTCATGTGAAAAGATGCTAAATTTACTTGACCTACTTTCATCTTCATGTTTAGGAAACAGGGTATAAGAAGTAAACAAAGTAGTTGTGCCTCATGCAGGAGATGATTATTGTTCGAATTTATGATTCATGCCTTGAGCAAAATTTTGTTTGTGGTCTCATTTGCAACCACAATTTATATCTTTACTAGGGATATACAGTGTATTTGGGAGGTTATATATTAGGCATTCTTTGTACTGGAACAGTTTTCTAGCTTTGGGTATAGTATTTTCTATGTTTCTGGTAGCTATTTTGGTGTAACATTTATTGTAGTAAATATGGAATTTTCAAATTTTTTGATAATTGCAATTCCCCCGAGGAATATTTACATCAATGCACTTGTTACAGCTAAATCAAGCTAGTATTTAAAAGAGTTGTTAATCCTACAAACAATGAGTCATAAATGCAAGTAGTTACTCTTTCAGTATTTCCTAACCACAGTGTTCATTTTTTAATAACAAGCGTTTCATTTAAGTTAGTCTGTATTTTTAACCCAATCTAAATCAAATACTGTTAAACATTTCTGAAGCCCAATGAAGTCATGTTTTCAGAGAAGGATGTTAATTGCAGTTGTTCTATTATCTGGTAAAGCAGACTGAATAAGCTTAGGTCTGTTAAACAAAAATCTATGAAGGATGTAGATTTGGAGAAATATTTACAATAAGAGAGGCGTAAACAATAGATTGCCAAATATATAATAATGGACTACCACAAAACAGTAATTAAAAAATAGACTTTTCTATCTTTAATGTTTTTGAATCTATTATTCTCTTTCGGTTGCTGTTTACTGTGACATTCCTGTGAGCTGTCAGATAAAGTCACAACTGATAGAATCATAGATGATATACCTGATACTTTATCTTTTTTTTTTTTAGTGCATCCTTTCTTCCAAATGCAGATTCTTTACAGATAAATTCTGGTTTTGAGTTAGAGAAATAGAGTTACTAACCCTCAGGTGGCAAGACTGCAATAATTTCACCTTTTTGTTTTGTCTTTCAGAAGGTAGAAAATTCTAATCATAACCTGAGGAGTAGGGGGGTTTTAATTAGCCATGCGACATCCATGGAAATCTATACTCTGGGAGGACTGCACATGGATCCTGACACTTCTAGCAAAAAGACACAACATCTGTCCCTGTCCCAGAATTTCTGAGCTCACTGTCTGCCCCAATACCTAATTCCTAAAAGGCTGGTGTTCAGGAACTCTCATTGGCCTCCTTTTCTTTGTCTAAATAATGGTTGTAAAATTTAGTAAAAGCAAAGTGTGTTGTTCAGTGTCTACTAGTTCCACTACCAGCCTTGCAGTTCTTTCTTTCACCTCCTAAATCTGTGAACTCCTGACTTCATTAAATTATTAAGGAGACTTAGACCTGTCATGGTGCCCAAGAAGAAAGCAGTGAAGATCTCAACTTGTACCCTCACCTTTAGTACTCTTCAAGCTCAGGAGGTAAACCAGAGCACCCAGTATCTAATGGGAAGTGAAAGACAAAATCTTTTGCCTTCTTGTCCTTCTTCCAACCTTTCACTCCACCACTGTGGGAAAAAAAAAGAGGGTTCCACAGTGGTGGTCAAGTTGGAGGTGGTGGCCCATGTTCCTCAAATGGGAATTTAGGATGAATTAATTTCTCCATTCTTGTTCTGCTCCTTAAGAGAGCTAAGCAGCAAGTCTCAACAATCTCATGTTACTCAAAGACATTGATACATGAGAGTCTTACTGACTAGTCTAAAGGAGCATGCCAAATTACTTTTCAAAGACAGAATCATTTCACCTACTTGTGAGAGCTAAATTTCAAGAATATTAAAAGGAAGAAAATTACTGCATGATAGGGAGCTGCCATTGTAATATGCGCTGCTTAGTGCTTGAACATTGTAACTGTCAAGCTGATTCTATTATGAAAAAAGGAGTAATTTAACATTATTTAATATTCACAATATGCACATCTTGAATGGAAGTGTATGTAGAATGTAAGGCCTTATTTCAGCATAAATGAAATTTTAATCACAGGAGTACTTCTATTGGTTTTAATAGGATAACTCTTATTCTCACTTTTATGCATGTGCATAATAAATAAGAAGTTACTAACAAATATGTTTAAAAATCACTGTGGTATTACCTTCATGAAAATATAGAAGATATTCTAACTTCTCAAGTGCTTCTTACCAAGTTTGTGGGATTGATTCGCCATTCCACAGTGCCTACCAGTGTTTTCTTCTGTTAGTTATATCAGGGCCTTCCTTTGGTACATGGGTAGCATGAATATAAATGAGAACAAAATTTAGTTTTATTGGGGTATTTCCCACGTACTGAAGGTTTAATGCCATTATAGCAAGTTAGCTGACTAATGCTCAGATGAGAAAGATGGAAAATATAGGAGGGTGTGTGTAACTGTAGAACTGACTACTTTACAGATTGATGCTTGAAATGTACAAGACATGGCAAATAGTATCATGATTTACCTTAATGTTCTGGTACAACACATTAGGAATATCAGTCATTTTGGAAAGGTGCTCAGAAAATTCCTGTATGTTCTCTGAGGATCTACAGATAGCCAATAATTTACAGAAATCCTATCATTTTTGGAGCTTGCCTGCCAGCACCATTTTTGTCTACTTTGAGTCCTGTCAGGTTTCTGCTTCTGCATTTTGTTCAGTGATTGCAATGTGATATACAGAGATATCTTTGGGAGTAGAAAGTGGCACCTAAGATTTGCTCACCCTTCTGTCGTCTCCAGCCCCTCCACAGCTGCATAGGTAAGAGCCTACCAGCTTGTTCTCTACTGCACCCTTTTCATCTGGCCTTATTTGCTGTATAACAGTAAAGCATTGGCAGAGTAGTTGAGTGAAAATTCATTATTTATTTTATTTTATTTTATTGAGAAGTAATCCTGTTTATGGGCTACTTCACTCCAGCTAGGTGAACTATCTTCTTAGTAAGGACTATAAGACTGAAAAGAGAGAGAACTTGCCAGTAGTGACAATAAAATATCAATGCTGATTTGTTGTATGAAATCTATATAATTTATAAATGGAAATACAACGAAAAGGTTGTAAATACAGATGGTTATACCCAAAAAGATTTTAGAAGATTAGTTTTCTAGATTATAACTTTTTTTAGTAGTAAGTGCAAATATTAGGAGAGTGACATGAAGATATCTGAAGGCATTAGGTCTTATCACCCATGTTTCTTCCATAGAATAGGAAAACTGTAGCAATATCTTTTAAATGACAGGCTTAAATATCTGCAATAGCAGTGCAACGTTTGGACTTCAGCAGGTATTTTTACCGTTACAGCCTTTACATAATTACCTTAATGTGAAGAAAGGCATATCATGCTCCATCGCTCCTTGTGTGAGCTTTAAGGAAAAAAAAAAAAAAATCGTTCCATAAAAAGCTTCTTAGCTTCAATTGAGCAAAAGAGTTCATACGGGGTCTGCAGTTGCAGCTCATAATTTCTGTAGACAGGTTAGTGTGTGATGATGGTAATTAAGTTACATAAAAGCGCTGGGCTAGATAAACCGAAGCAGCCGCTGCATCAGCTCTCCGGGTGAGCGGAGCTGGCGCAGGAGCGCGGCGGTGCCCGCACTGCGCGGCGGGCCCGGGCTGCGAGCGGCTCCGCTCTCGCTCGCCGTCCGTAGGTGGCAGCATTGGCAGCGCTTGCGGCGCCTCGGGAGCTGCCGAGCATCCCGTGCTCCCGCCAGACCTCCCCCACCCACAGCGCTGCGCTCTGGGCTGAGCTAACATCGTTACATACTCACGTCAGGTGGAATAAAATGGGGTGAAGTGTTTGGGCCGCAAATTAGGCTGCGTTTCTTCGGAGTTTTATTCCTTCCTTTTCCTTTTCCTTTTCCTTTTCCTTTTCCTTTTCCTTTTCCTTTTCCTTTTCCTTTTCCTTTTCCTTTTCCTTTTCCTTTTCCTTTTCCTTTTCCTTTTCCTTTTCCTTTTCCTTTTCCTTTTCCTTTTCCTTTTCCTGTTCCGTTTCCTTTTCCGTTTCCTTTTCCTTTTCCTTTTCCTTTTCCTTTTCCTTTTCCTGTTCCTTTCCTTTTTTTTACCTTTGCTTTGTCTCTCCTCTCCTCTCCTCTCCTCTCCTCTCCTCTCCTCTCCTCTCCTCTCCTCTCCTCTCCTCTCCTCTCCTCTCCTCTCCTCTCCTCTCCTCTCCTCTCCTCTCCTCTCCTCTCCTCTCCTCTCCTCTCCTCTCCTCTCCTCTCCTCTCCTCTCCTCTCCTCTCCTCTCCTCTCCTCTCCTCTCCTCTCCTCTCCTCTCCTCTCCTCTCCTCTCCTCTCCTCTCCTCTCCTCTCCTCTCCTCTCCTCTCCTCTCCTCTCCTCTCCTCTCCTCTCCTCTCCTCTCCTCTCCTCTCCTCTCCTCTCCTCTCCTCTCCTCTCCTCTCCTCTCTCTCTCCTCTCCTCTCTCTCCTCTCCTCTCCTCTCCTCTCCTCTCCTCTCCTCTCCTCTCCTCTCCTCTCCTCTCCTCTCCTCTCCTCTCCTCTCCTCTCCTCTCCTCTCCGAGATTTAAAGGTCATTTTCTTGTGAATGCATCAAAATCTCCATGCCATCTAAGGAAAAGAAAAAACCCACAGGACTGAGTGAGACACTTACTGTCTGTACAAACTTGACTTGGCATTCATCATGCTTTCTTTGTTATGGAAAATAGAACCTTATTGTGAAATGATCTTCCCTAGTGGAGAAATACATTCTGTGGGAGTCATTACTCTCTCAGGCTTAAAATTCATGACTTCCAGATTTCTCATCTGTGTATTTATTTGGTTCAGGACAGTGATTTTTGGGAGAGATTGGCGTGGGGGGGTGTAGGGGTTTGTTTTGGTTTTGGGTTTTGTGGGGTTTTTTTTGTTGCTTTTTTTTTTGAGAGCTCTAGCAGTCCCAGTCATTGGATGAGTCCTGTTTCCACTGATCTTTTGGCTTACTATCAAAAAGCAGAAAAAAATCCCTACATTTCACAATACTTGAAGATTTTTTTCAAGATAATCTTGACACTGAGTATTGATTTTCCTTTTTAAAAAACATTTAAGTTTGCTTTATTTATTCCACTTCTAAAAGTTAGCAGAACTATTGGACATCAAAAAGACTATGCAGTGATCCCTTTTTCTTTACATACATTTTAACGTACTATTTTCATTATATTTTTCTTTCTGTGTTATCTTCTTTGATGTTGTCATTAAAGACATCATGAGGTCATACTTTTTCTACTCCTTATTCCCTTTTCCCATTCCTCTTTCGTTTCCCCAGGGAGGGAAATTCTGAAGTAGAGGTTGAAAAAATGGTTTCAGTATTACAGAAAATATAAGCCAAAGTTGTTTCCTTAATAAATAGAATTAGATGTATATATTGCATTTTCAAGAGCTAGTACTGATGTTGGGACCAGCTCCTTGAATAAAATAGGACCTCTGTAGTCTCTGGAGAGAACATGCATAAAGCAAAGTAAATGATTTTCTGTCAACACTAAGTAGACAGGTGCTTACATTGAACAGCATTCTAATATGTCTCTGAATATTTATGTCTTCTTTTTCAAATGCATTGCCCATGAATGTCACAGCTGTCAAATGTCTGTATACAAGAAGATAAAAAATGAAATTAATAAAAGGCAGATCAACATTTCATTTGTTTAGGCCACTTTTTCATACAGCATTTTACAGAGGTTGGTGATGTTGAGATGCTTGAGTATACTGGCATATTGTAAGGGCTGAGTGAAATGCAAAGCAGTTAGTTGTATTTTGTGCACTCCTAGGTATACTTCCCATTATTTAACCTAGCCATTATCAGTTAAAATAATGACTCAGAGTTCTAAAATATTGTTCCTTTATCCTCTGTCCATTTTCTTTACAGAAGGGGATCCTGGAAAGTCTTGGCAGCTCACTATTGCCATAACTAGAAACTTTTTTTTGTGGAACAAATTCTGAATCAAACTCTGCAATGTGCAGGGACAGATGAGCCACCAGTGCTGCTTGAAACCAGTTAATGAAGAATAAATTCAGTTTGAAAATAGTTCCAAAAATGTAAAGACTATACATGTAAAAGTAAACTTACCATTCATGGCTAACTGTGAAGATGCACCTATGCATCCTTGCAAAAATTTGAAATACCTTAATGATAACATGACTTTCCTTTTATACAGAATGGTACTGAGAGAATAAGTGGAAAAACCTTAAGTGGGCAAAGATCAGCATTATTCACGTTGTATCCAAATAAAGTAGATTAATATGTGTTTCCCATTGGCACATTTTAAATGCTCCTCAAATTTAGTGGTGCTTTCAGAGCAGGCCAGTTGGCATTCACACACTCAAATGTAGATGCCAGAGGTTGGATGCTGCCTTCTTTTTGTCTATATTCCTTGTTAATTACTTTGTTGTAAGGTTTCAAGTTACCTTTGAAAGTCTCTAGACTTTCTTACCATTCCCCATATGAGCTTAGTAGACAGACCACTTTCCAGTCAAAACAATTCAACATATAATTCAAACTGACTTATTCAAGCTATTGCAGTACGAAGAAAAATGTTACCAGAAATTTAAATGATGCACAGAGGTTTGTAGCATTATTGTGAAAACATCGTCTTGGAATCGTATAATCAGAGAATGGTTTGGGTTGGAAAGGACTTTAAAGTTCATCTAGTTGCAACTCCCCTGTCATGAGCAGTGTTTACCTTCAAAGTTTTTTCTCGATATAGCTGTTAAGACTAATGTTAGATTTCCCAAATGTCCAGAGTTTCTGCAATACATGGATATTCCATATTCTGGAACCTCTGTACAACAGAAAGTGCAGCTAGAATTTGTGCAGGCAGGCACGTGCTTGAAGCGCAGCCATAATGAAATGAAGTACACTGCCATAACAAAAGCTATATTATGCTTTCATCATAAATTTTCTGTCAGACATACACTAAACTGCTTCTTGGCAGCTCTTATCCCTCTCAGAAAATTTGTCCTAAGCAATCATCAGCAGAGGAGACAGCGTATACAGAACTGAGTAAACCAGTACAGATTAACAGGACTGAGGACATCAGGCCCGATGAAGTGAGTGCAGTTGGCTATGAGATGAACAGATGCTTGAGGGAAACTAGCAATAAGTCAAAAACAATGTTTCATAAAAGCATATCTCCCAACAGATTCCAGTAAAATATGGGTCTGTTTTTCCTGCAAGCTGTATATGGAAATAGCTGGAAATCTTTAGATCTTGCATGCATTTTCCACAGAGACACAATGCTTGCTCTCCATTCCAGGTACAGATCCTAGAAGGAGATGATATTTGGACACATCTACATCGTGAACTGGTTTCCAAATTAGGTTAGCATTCTTATTGTTTTATTTCCAGAAAAAAGGTAGAAGAGTCCTTTAATTCTCCTTAAAAATTGCTTAGCTGACAACAGAATACATGTTTGTGAGTTCAGGATATGACTAGCATTTGTTTCAGCTTTGAAATGGTTCAGAAGCTGGACATTTTTTAGGTTTAGCTAGTTATGAGAAATAATTTAGAAGACACTATGGTCTTGCAGAGATAAACATGGAAATACTGTACTGTTTGGTTCTTTCTGAGACAGCAACCCTTAAAATGTGTTGTTTTGCTGTTGGCAAATAAGGCCAATGCAGAAATGCATAACTGAGCACAGAAGATAAATTTATTTGGTAAGAATCTGAGGTTTCTTTTACCCCAATTAGTGTTATTATTTGGAAAATAAAAAAAATTGGTGTCATCGATAAGACAACTTCAATAAAGAAACAAGAGTCAAAAAATCCATTCTGAAAGTATGTATGCCACAATAAACCTCTTCATCTAGAGTTAAAGAATGTTTTTTAACAGGAGCTTCTTTAAAACTGTTGATTTCAATTTTCTTTATTGATGTGTGTTTGATGTACATGTTTCCTGTGGCTACATTTCAAGATATTTAGGATATTATGTGAAGTCAGATTATTATAATTTTGACTAAATGTATCACATTAGCAACATAAATAAAAGCCCCATGCTTCACTGTTAAGCAATGGACTTTTCCTGTAACACTGAGATAACACATATAGTTTCAGAAATAGACCACATTTGCTGCATTGCCATGTGAAACTGCGTGTTTTTATCTTTGAGAATTATTATGATCCTTGCCTGAAAAATAAATATAAAGATCTGTGGGCTACTGAACTCAGACTCACAGGCATAACTAAGGGAAAAATATCTTAATAAGAAAGGATGAGCCTCGCAATTGAAAATGCTTTGAATAAAAGTGCTGCTAGCTTTCAAAGAAGATATTCCCAGCAATATCTTCAGGTATATGCCATAATTCGCCTTTTTCTCTGCAACTTATTCTATTGTACCTAGCAAATTTTTTCATTGTGATCAGATCAGATCAGAGATAAGTGATGCCTTAGGTTGCAGAGAAATGTAAGTTTCAAATTTCTATGCGTCTGATTTCCTTTGCTCTCAATACACATTGAAGATGGGTTCTGACATTTTAAATGCAAATTTCTTTTTGTTTTTAAAATGTTGACTTTCTGAGTATCATTTAAAGGAGAAAGAACTATTTACTGATTTGATTTCCATATGTTTTAGGTGAAATCTGTTCTACAAAGGAAGTGCTGTGATGAGTTGCTTCTCAGTGCTGAGAACTCCCATGTTAGCCTGGGCCTGGATTTCTGCAGAGCAGCAGTTTGTTTTTCCTTCTATCCACAGTAACTCTGGGCCTCCAGAAAGGGAAATCTGGGATTGTTGCATCCCCTTAGCATCCCCCTACATTCACTGACATCAGGATGCTATGCAGCAGTAACCATGTCCTGTATCTCAATGTGATGGAGGCAAGTTCGTCTGTATTGGAGTGATACTTTGCTATTAAAGGATTTTGTATACTTAAGCCATGTGGGTAACTCCAGCTAACTGTTTAGACTTTATTTAAATATTATTGTGTCAGAGGACTTAGGGATTTCAGGCCTATTCAATAAATTCAATAAATTGCCACTGACACCATAAAATACCAAATAATCCATTGAGAATATTTCTTTGTATAATGAAATCATATCTAGGTTGAAATTCTATTAATTTAAATAATTGATTCATTGTTAATTCTCAATATGCTGGTCACAAAAGTTTCAGTGGACCATAAATCTGAAAAGGGATCATTTGGGTCAAACATGATGTTTAACTTAGCAAGAAAAGAATTGTTCAAATTATATTTCTTCTTAGACAAATTTTATTTTCCAAATAACTGGGGAAAAATGAGGCTCATTTTGTTTCCATGATTCTGTTCTTTAAACAAGCATTATGGATTAAAAGTCCTTGTCACTAGCTCTATTTAGAACATAAGTCCTGTTAATAGAGAAACCTTTGGTAGTTCTGGACAGGATGTGAAAGAATGATGATGAAAGTAATTGAAACTTCAAGGAGGGAGAGAGTAAGTAACAATGTAATTATGTGAATTGGAATTATTCCAGGTCCCTACAACTAGAAAATGCCAAAATGCTACTTAGCAAGATATTTCTATTAAAAAATTATAAAAGTTTCTACAGTCGTGCAGCAGCAAATCTTCAATCTTTCACATTCACTCTGACTGACCTTTTATTCCCACCTGGGCTAAGTAACTTCCCCCTCCTTCAAAGGAATGCTTTAAACTAGTCTATTCCCGAAAGAGAACAATGCCTTTTCCTGGAAATCTTCAGCCGTTTTCACCACCACATTGACTTTCCTGTTTAGAAACAAATCCCCAGTGAGCACAAATTCCTCCACATTAAAATCCCACCTAATTTTGTTTCCAGTTTTCAAGAAAAACACATACATTCAATATATTTCTACTTATAGTGCTTTTATAGTAAAACATTATTATACAGTCTAAAGATATATTGGACCAATTACAATCAACCATTATATGGTAATGTTACCATAGTATTGCAACCTATTATATTATATTAATTACACAAATAACTCTCTACTGGCACAATCTCTTCCTTAATGGATTTTTTCCTACTTGTGTTGACTAAGTTCTAGAAGTTCCAAGTCTATTGCAAACTCTAGAGTAAATTACATCCATAATTATGTTTACAGTACAGTATAGAAGACTTTTGTGTATAAATACACAATATATATTATAACACATAAAATGCAATTCTTTTATTTTACCCAGTATTCAGTATTATACAGAAACTGTTGTGGTGGCACAGTGCATATTTCAAATTAGAGAAAACAGGATCTTCACTGATCTAAATATGTTAAAAAAATTGTACTACTTCCATCTTTACTGTTATAAAATGAATTGTGATGATATCATGAAAATACACAGTTAAGACAGATTTGTAACATGATGCTTCAGCAAGTATGAAGAGACATAGAACATTTTTGTGCATGCTACTTTACCCTCATTCTTCCTGGGAGAGTGACAATAATTTAATATCAAAAATCAATTTACTGTGATTGAGGTATTTGGGTTGTTTTAAAGAAAAAACAAAGGCAATAAATCACATTTCCCATTTCCCAGGAATATCCTTGGTTTAGCTTTCCAGTTAAAATACAAAATATTTGTATTTATACATATTTGCTAACTCTGGTATGGGATTGGGACTATTTCATTCCAAGCAGTAACAGTTAGGGTGTGTTTTTCCAGGTTGTACAGAAGCTGCTGCATACTGCCAAAAAATTAGACAACTTTTTTTCCTACATTTTGCTAAAAACAACAAATTCTTTGTTGTTGTTCTTTTGTTATTTGCAATTATTTTGGAATTGCACTTGTAATACCTTAATTCAGTTTTACACACTGCCTTTGCCATTGCACTCAGTGCATCCACTTTTGAAAACTAATGTCCTGAGTTAACTTGGACAAGATCTAAATGCCTGGTTACAGGAAAGCTAAATACCTAAATATTTCAATTTGCAGTTAGGAAACTGCTACAACAGCATGTCTGTGAAATACTGCAATCAATGCACAGTAAAAGCTCACAGATTTTAATTTTTGGGGGTGGGGAAAGGAAGAAAATAATAACATTTTTTAAAAGGGTCATGAAACATGAACACAAAGTTTATGCTCTCCCCTCACTAAAAATCCCAGATGTATTGAAGTCTTTTTGTTTCAGAAACTGTAATGTAGCTTGCTTTTCTCCCAGGCTATGGCTAGGGCATTGCCATATTTCATCTCTGCTTTTTTGAATGCTTCCCTTCCTCTCACCAAGCCAACTTTTATTTTTTAACAGAAGACACTGGAGCACACTCTGTTGTAGTTCTGTATTATTTCAGCAAAGCCATTTGGATTTTATTTGATTTATTTTAAGTGGTTTTGGTTTTATATTGTTGGTGCTTTAACATGCAAAATCTTCATGTAGAGGATGTTTTTATATGTTCATGTGACTGATTTCTCCATATAGTTTTAAATTTTATGAGTTGTTACAGACCCTTACTTATCCATATCCTGAGAATCTCTCATATAAATACTTCTGAGTTTTGGTGCTCAATTAAAGATACTCTCAATGGTTGAAGAAATTATCATCAAAGTCCATAGATAATGGCTTCTAAATGGGCTGCTGAAAAGACACTTGACCAATTTCACTGGTTTTAAGACATATTCACCACAAATTTTCTAGAAAGTATTTTACACTGTTAGGACAGGAGATATGTACTGCACACTGAAGAAGAAAAACATTTAATAAAATATAAGTAACATTTGATAATCACTGTGAAAGAATAGCTTGTTGTCTAATGAAGAAAAAACAAAAATCATGTAGGATGCTCTGAAAAATGGATGAATAACTAAGTTAACAAAAATAGAGTCTAGGATATCCCTACTTCAGATTGCAATCGTTTCCAATGTTTTGCAGAAAGAAAGATGTCTGTATAGTTAGAATGAAATCTGTTTTCTGACAGTGAAGAGTAATTTTGACTTAAAACCAGATGAGTCTTTGTAGATAGGAAAAATTTCTCTTCAGCTTGAAAATGGGGAAAGGATTATTTTTCAAAAATTAATGTTTGACTTAAGGGAAAATGTTAGAAATTTGCTTTTTACTTATTTGCTGTCAAATGTTCTATGTATTAGCTTGTTTGCAGACAGAAGACATTTGAATGCTTATTCAGGTAATGAAAGGACTTGTCATAACTGTATTTGTACAGCACTTTTGGAAAAAGATTGATGTTATGCTTCTCTAAGTTAAATAAACTTCTAGGATTTGTCTCCATATATTAGAAAGAGAAATAATTAATCTAAAGGGAGAATTCTTTAAGGATCTTTATATAAAAGTCATGAGAGCAGCCAACAGTTATATGTATGAAGTACAAGAAAGCAAAAGAGTATCAAAAGACCTGATCAAAAGCACATCTGAGCCAGTAGACAGATAATTATTACCTTTAATAAATTAGAAATATGCCCCTATCTGAATGTAATATAGATATCTTCCTGTTTCAAGCTCGTTCAATAAATTGTCTTTATGAAAAGAAATGTAGCATGTGTAATATTGAACATTGTACTAGGTCCTCAAGTTTTTCTTGTGATATCAGAAATTTTTAAATACATTTGGAAATAAAATAACATTAAAAAAAAAAAAAACATTTCTTCAAATGTCTTCACAACTGCCTAGGTTTTTATTCAGTGCTATTATTTCACAATTTATTTGTAGCATACTTTCCATCTTCAGATTTCTTTCTTTATAACATTCATTTTTCTAGAGTTAGGAAATGTACTATCTTGTCTGTACTGCCTTATGATTAGTGGTCTTTCTTCCCATTAGGACCTATTTATGTACAGAAATGTGCCCTATACCTCTGTATTCACCTAGAAGACAGGGATATAGTTACCATTGGGGAATTTAACTAAAAAGAGATGGCTAAAATGAACAGAATATTTTAAAAACAGTCCTGCCTGCTTTGAAGTTTTGACTGTTTACTAAACTTTTTTTCCCCATGGTATTGTCTTTGTGTTCTACCATCAGACATTGTCTACAGTAAAATCATGGTAGTGATTTTTCCCTGGCAACTTTCAGTCTTTTTATTTGCTAACAGCTATCACTGCTCACATTGTTCAGTACTCACTATCTAGTTACTGCCATAACAATTATTTCATATTTGTAAATTAAATCTGACTTTCTATTATGTAGGTAATTATGTTTTATTCAGTATCCTATGGAAAAATTCTTTATTTTAATATTAGGCTTTTTGAGTCTTCAATGATATCTAGTGGATCATTTACAATGATTATTTTTATGACATTGGGATATCTTCTCAGTTAACCTCTGTTGTTCTCTAAATGTAGCATATTTACCATTTAAAAAAAATAGTTTGCAGGACCAAATCTTCTAATATAATATATGTGTACTCATTATCCTTGTTACACTCCATGCTGCTTTCACTCCATTTATTTGTGTGTGTGTATATGTGCAACACAGTGTTACTACTTCCAAATAATTTTTATACTCCAAAGAGCACCCATCTGCCTTATATCCTGTAAGAAACTTAACAGTCACATCTTCAAAGACCTCTAATGAAGTATTAAAGCAATTATTCATGCAAGTCAATAAACTCTCTTATAAATATGTGTGGCACACTTGCATTGTAAGTTTGAAGAAGTTGTTTTACAAATAATTTACATATATTCAAATTGGAATAAACAAGAACAAACATTTTAAATCAGTTACCATGTTCTATCTACACACCAAACCAGGGTTTCCAGCCTCTAACTCCAAATTATTAATTCTGTTTTTACTAATAATTATATACATAATGTAATTTCTCATAGACCAGTTTATCTTACTTGAAAGTACTTTTTAAAAATTAAAGATCGATAGAATCTAATAAGTGGAACATGGTTCACTAAGAATTTTAGGAGGACTCTACTAAGAACTAAGAATATTTTAGCTTATCATCACAGCACCTGACATAAACAAGTGCTGTGTCTATGGTTTCTGATGGGTACCAAATAAAAGGAATACATATAGCTTGCCTAAGAAAAGCTACATAAAACAAATATCAAAGTAGCAACTAGAACTCAGGATTTTGTCAATTTTATTATATTTAGTCCACTAGAGAATAGAACTATTTTAAGTATAATGAGCAGTCTTACATTTGGAAGTTACCAAAATAAATTCTCTATTGTTGTCCAGTGTTTGGTAATAGAAATGAGATATTACCTAAGAGCTTATATTCTTCTCTTTGTTAAAGACTAGCATTCAGTTACTCAACAATTACTGTGAGATCAGTCACACCTCATGGTTCTCTGAGATCTGTTAGTCCCTTATCAAACTGTGAAACTTTATTCTAGTCTTGAGTATTTTCCATTTCTTAATTCTGATAACAAATGGATAATTAATACATCTAGTAATCATCTTTAAAAACAATTTTCTGAAATTATAGTGGTTAGTGAAATGGAGACTGATGACTCATCACCATTTTTTAAATTATTCTTAGGATTATAAAGTTGTCATTTTACTTTTAGACAATAAGTTCTTTATGTCCAAATGGTTTTAATGGGATTTATGTCTTCTGGAAAAGTGGCCTCATGTATGTGACTTCCAAGTATATGAATTGCAGTCATAGTAAAAACAACTCCATAATGGAAGACAGATTAAAAGGTTATAAAGAACTGCATTTGCTGAAGTCCTTAACAATATGAAGCCAAAAGAAAAAAAACTAGCTTTTTAAAAAGTCACCACTTTTAGACAGATAAATCCTGTTTCATCATGTAACATATTGCATAAAAACAAAGATTATGC